ACTGAAATCCTACGGTGTCTACTCCTATCTTCTTTACTCTGATTACTGTCTTGAACATCGAAGTGTATTAGGCGGACACCGAACTAGTGTCGAGTTTTCTGGTTGTAGGCTCATTTGCTCCTCGACATACAGACCCAGGGACACATGTACCTCTCCAAAATTCGCCGTCAACACATTTTAATATTTTTCACAATAATTTTGGTGGCAATTTTGTCCTTCAAAGTACAAAATTCTTTCTCATCATGCCACTCCTCTTAATTTCTCTCTTATCTTCGCCTTTACAAATTCTATTTTCCTCGAATAATTTTATCTCTCTCAAAAACTTCATTTATCTCTCCTAATCCTTTCATTATTTTTTTTCGCATTCACTTCTAACTCTCTTAATTTGTTTTTCTCCGTCATCCAAATTCCTTACTCAAATTATCATTTATTTAAATTTATTTATTATTTAACATAATTAATTCACTCAAATAAGCCGTTAACATACCCTAGTCCCTATATACATTTTTTACATTTAATTTAAGTTCTTTAATGGTTTATAAACTCAAATAAACCTCTTGACTACAAATATAATGAGTATTATATTATGTTAATYGTACATTTTGTCTTTTAATTTAATTTTAAAATTTAAAGAAACTCAAAAGCTATAAAATTTAATAAGATGTATAAGATATGTATGCCTTAAATTGAAACTTATATCTAATTTTTAATGTGAATTAAAATTTCTAAATCTTCCAAACTTCTAATAATAAAGGTATATTTAAATTTTAAATTTCTAAAAGGTTTGTCCATTTCTATCATTTACTAGTCTTTTCCACATATAAACATTTTGCTTGGTCTCATATACTTAATAGCATTTTGGACTTGTTGTATAATGTAATGACGGATAAGGGAAAGGGTGAAAGAGGTGGTCGGACGATAGAAGAGATGGAGAAGGCTGATGACGACGACGATGAATCAATTCTTCTTCCACCTAAACCATGATAACGAACATGTCATCATTCTGTTTAATTCTGATTTACCATTTGGCTTAGACTTAAAATTTTGAAATATATAAATAGTTGCAATTTTCAATTCCATCTTCGTGGATGGTTGTGTGGGATAAATTTATATTTTGATTTTATATTTTTGTGATATATTCTGTTTAAGTGGTCAAACATTTAGGAGTTAATATATCTTTTATGAGCCATAGATTTGAATTAATTTCCTCTAATTTATAATGTACATGAAGAGAAAAAAGAACCAAATTATATTAAAAATTAACTATTTAATTCTTTTTTACATTTTTAATACTTCAATGAAACTATGAAATGCACGTGCTTCTTACTAAGAATTATGACCATACCAATAATATTTGTACGTGGTTAAGGTGAGGTAATAAAAATCATCCATTTATTTATTTGTATATTATCATCTAAACTTTAAAGGACTATTTTAATACTTAGTCTCCAAAATTTTAAAAAGTGATTATTTAATTTAGTCATGGTCTATAGTCTAGTATAAATTGCTTTATATAAATGGATAAATGGTTTAAAAAGTGAATATGTGTATTAGTGTATTCACGAGTAAATTTATTGGACCCATATAAGCTTGTTGAGACGAATATTAATTGGGTAGGTAATATAATGTGCTTGAATAATAATAGAACTAAAATAATGTTTCATATATTTTAAAATTCAAGAACTAAAATATATATTTTGAAAGTTTAATTTACACTGTTTGTTTGATAGAGCTTAACCACAAATCATGTCATGACTAATATATATTATTCATTTCGGATATAACTCTCAAGAGTTTGCTTTTAGTTTCACGCAAAAAAGTCTTGTACCACTAGAGATACTGGTGGTACAAGTCTTATATACCCATGATCTTCCCTAGCAAATGTGAGATTTTAAGTTTCATTCACAACACCTAATCCACAACCGTGTTCCATTGATATCAAATTTGAGAAAAAATGGTTAGACATATTGCCCGTTTTCCCAATTTGCTTGTCTAAGTAGGAAACAAATACTTAGACAACAATGGATCATGTGCTAGTAGGCTGCAAGAGAGAAAAACAAGATTAGAAATTGAATTCTTCTAAAAGGGTCTCGAAGCAAATATGAACAACAACTTCTTTGATTGATGATTTTTGTGGATGGAAAATTTAACATCAAAGGAAATGAGAAATTCTAGAAGTAGATGCGAAAAGTCTATGGATGGATTTTGTTGAGGAACTTATTAAGAGAATAGATGAGAGTAGCAGGGAGTGGAACGAGAAAGTACCTCGTATAAGAATTTAGAAGCCTCCTCCAATGAGTTTTGTAAAGATTCACACAGATGCGGCTTGTGATCCTCGAAAAACGAATAGGGATTGACGTTTTGATTCATAATAATCAAAATGAAATTCAAGCAGTGATGATCTCTTCGTGCAGGGAAAACAACAATGTAGGAGTTTGAACACATAACCTCCTACTCTGATATCATGTTAAGGAGGAATAAATCACCACTTAACCTAAACCTAAAAGCTTAAGCCGACGAGTTGGATAAATTTAATTCATTTATATGAATTCTCAACAATATAGAATCGAATGAGGCTACCCTTCGAATGGCAAGGGAGTCTTGGATTTGATTTTTTATTTTTATTTTTTTTTGCGACGGTTTGATTTCCCCTCCAAACTTTCTCGTAAGGGTCTGAAAAGGACTTTCCAACTCTTGCGGCCCTCGAAGTAGTTCAATTTTCTTAAATAAAGTGCTTATTAACATATTTATGTATGCATAATATACAATTTTAGATGCCATAATAGAATTTAGACTGTATTTTTCATTTTACGTGAGACATGAATAAATTAAATTTTATAATCATCTTTCTTTTTCGAGACAATTACATAAATAACATAAAAATAAATACATATTTTCAAATATAGCAGAAATTTAATATTTGTCAAAGCTAGTATAATTAAAATCAAAAGTGAAGCTTAAATTACATTAAAAAAAAGTTAAAATTATGCTATATTTGAGAAAAAAAACTTGGGATATTTTTAAAAGTAGAAATTAAGTTTATGCTAGGGATTAATTTCTTTTCGGAAAGTAATTACTTTCTTTTAATTGTACTTTTAATTACGAATAATAGACTTGAAAAGAAAAAAAGAGAAAAAAAAAGAAAGATGCCGTGAAAACGTTTCTCACGAAATGCCCTAATTTCCGTCGTCACTCGCAGAAAAAAGATAAATAAAAGTAAAAATAAACTTGCTAAAGACAGAATAGAATCAAAACCAAAATTCGATTTACTTATTTTGTCATTTATAATCATATCAATATTTATTTAATAACTTTTAAAATCTTTGTAATTAAAAATTAATAATTTTAAAAAATAGCAATTATTAAACACATATTATCAATAACAAATGTCAACATTTTGACGTGTTAAATTATTTATAATTTGTATATCTTCATCAATGAAATAACGGTATTTTATTTATTGAGATAAAATATTTAATTGATAGGAACAAGAAATTATGGAATAATAATCTAATAATTATTTTGATCTAATCTATATTTGTAAAAAGTTTAAAACATGATAATTATGACAATTTTTGCATTGACTTTTTGT